TGTATATGTACTGAGTGTTCTCCATATTACACCTTCCGGCAAAAGCATTCTGTAGGTCACGAGCATGAACCTTAACAGTACTTCAAAACAATTTTGCGGATATTGAATGGCCTTGAGAGCCGTGACTCAAGGCAACACTAACACCAGCAGCAGTGCCGTTAGTTCGATCAGGGCATGCAGAGAGTGTCGTGCCCCTTCAAGTTAAACTTTTCAGTTGGGCCAAGCCGCAGTAGGACAAGGACAATGTGCCGCCATCTTCTGGAGACAATGACCCATCAATCTCGTTACCACGCCCTTTTTGATTGAAATAAAGTCCGGCCCAACAGTACTCTGTCCAATTTTGCCTCCAGCAAACGGTGGGGAAAACGACACTGGATATGAAAATAAATGGCCAGTTCTCCAGGATCTGGCGCTACTAACAACGCTCATAGCGGTCAGTTGAGATGACAGCAAGCTTATCGGTTAGGGATGGTAGAAACTTTATTCCATGATTGAAGACAGGGCTTGGACGATCTGAAAATGGCAATAGGAAAGGGAGACAAGGCCTAGCCAACTAAAATAGAGGCGTGAAGAATTGCGCACTGCCGAATGCTATATAAAGTAAATATTTTGATAGTGGGCTTGAGTGACAAAGAAATAAGGAATCAAATAATAAACAAAAACCCATCAGAAAATAGAGCGACACTAAAATATACAATAGAATCATTAGAACAGGCTGTACATGAAAACAACAGCATAGTTCACTCATGACTGCACCCAATATGTAAAGAAAGAATATAACCATACTAAGAAGAATGACATTAATGGGCGCCTATAATGTCTTCAAGTGAAATGAAAACGTTCTAAATAATCTGATATACAACAACGAATTATATTCGTTTCGCTATGTAAGTGACACTTATTTGTATCAGTCAAAATTAAGTCCATCTGATTGAACATTATAATGACTTCAGGTCACCACACTTCCGTGTGATTTGACCTCGGCTTAGCGAATTGGTCGAGGTGTCAGGACGAAATCGAGGAACCCACCTTGCTCTGAGTCCTCTGAATAGTTTTTATCACAATTTCTAGCGTCGGGCCTTCGATGTGATGCATTTCTTAACGTTTAGCGTTTTCGCTGAGCCATGTCATTCTTAGCATCAACTCAAAAACTCTTTAAAGAGACATGTGAAATCTCTAACTTGACCAACTAGAATCCAAAGAGTTGGGGTATCTCCCCTTCTTTCCTGTTACATCTACCTAATCTATATACCAAAATCTCACTCTTTATCATAACTCTGACCTGAAACCACGAGTAAGTTGCTAAAACTAGGTCAAATCAAGTCTATATAACTGAGGGAGGCCATTGCATTGTCTTACTTCCCAAA